ATGAACGAAGTGAATGCATGTGTTGTTTGGTTTAAACCACGCCAATATCAAACGCCTAAAATCCAATAAGACTAATTCAAGATAATGGATAAAACAAGCATGCTTTGAAAGAAACTCGCAGACTGACTGATGTTCCCCTGTGTTGTTTAACAGTGTTTAAAGTGTCAGTCACTACAACTCCCGAACAACTACGTCCTGCGGCCCTGGGGCCAACGCAACTTGCGTCTCTGCCGAGCAAACATGCTCGAATCAAGAATCGTTCCAGAAGTGCTGCGACCTTTGCCGCAGCCAAATTCAGGGGCAAGCTTGTGAGAGTTGCTTGCCTCTCCCCTTTTTGCCAGGGCCCATCCGATCGGCTTGCAATGGCCAATGAATGAGAAAGAGATGCGAGGGATGATTCCACCAGCGATTCAGCACGAACATATCTGCACATCCCCGGGTCAGCAAGGAACCATACGCAAAATCAAAGCAGCATCGCCTTTCAGGTTTTCATTCCATTGGACTGTGCTAGAACTTGACAGGGGAAATGAATCCTCCCAGTCTGCCAGATGCTTGACCATCCGCAAAGGTCAAGCTGCACACACAGGCTGACGGCGTTATTCTTTGCAGAGAATGTCGTTGTTTGGGGATCGGGGTTTGGATCTCCGGTTTAGGGAGGCCTGTGTATTTCCTAATGCTAGTTGCGAAAGGAAGGAGCGTGATTCCGATGGCAAGTACAGCGCACCATGACCATCAGCTACCCCCTGACAGTCCCATGGAGTGAGCATCATCTCGTTGCTCCACCGATGCCCTCGCTACTCCCCGCACCCCCCGCCCCCGACAGGACCGCGGCGCAAAAAGACCCCGAAGCTGGGCAGTATCGGGAGTGTGCCCCGACTTTGCACTGATCTTACATTGAGTCCTGCAAGTGCACTGCATCGTGACAGCAAAAAAGGATCCACCGGCTAAGCCAGCATTCCATTAAAACAAACACCGACATGCTCCAGCGTGCCTGAGCAAGTGCATTGTCGTTTCACTGCGTGTCGACTCGTTCTTCCGGACCCGTCTTGGTACGGACTTGGGATACCCAACCTCCCGGCCCTGCGAAGTGGTAGATCGGAATCGAAGGCGAGAGTACATAAGGCAGCGTTGCCGGCAGTCTGTTTGACGAGCTTGGCCAAGGAAAGGATGCAATCTTGCGCCCACGAAGTTGCATGAGAACGGTACGGGAATGGTATGCTCATTCTCCACTACAATCCTGTCCAGCTTTACCACCCGAGTCGGGCGCTTCCCCTCTTAACTAACACTCGTTTGAGCTTCGAAGCTCGCCACATAAGCTGGAATATTCTCTTCTTAGAAGCAGTCGATAGAAGCCCCCAACCTCCGCGCGAGCCCATGCCCTTGCTTGCTCCAGAGTACAGGCATGCAGGGCTCGCCAGGGCTAGGGGTAGCCCCCTCCCACCGCGCGCGTTAGCGCCCCGACTATGTGGGCATGGGCTCTCTCAATCTCTCTCTGCTTTGCTGAGGGCGAAACTCTTCTGTGCCTCTAAGGGGATGTAAAGCTGGCATAAGTTAATCACTACAGCAACAACCTCAGCAACTACCTCATACATCACAGTGAGACCCCGAACCATACTGCGGCCGTTAGGTTCATTCTGTACCCAGGGTGTAAGCTACCCCGAAATCTTGAAGCTTCGACGGCCTCTCAGCTGCGCTTCACGGCTTCTCTGGACGCGTCCTGGCTGACAACCTCGGTCCAAGAGGGATCATGACGGCCACGCGTGGGCGCGGCTGGCTTCATGCACACAGCATGGCCCTCACTTGGCAATCTGGGATCCCCGGCCACTTCGTCTGCCAGTAGCGCCTTGGCCTCTGCTCGGTTACGACTGTGCGAGATACTCGGCATGCTTCCGGCTTGCGAAAGCGGAATATGTGAGCTGTGCCAAGAAAAGCTCAATATCGAAAGAACCTGGTGGCACGCAAACACAACAAATCCAATGCACGAAAGTTGGCTTCAGTGAGGGGCTTCACTGCTCCTGCTGACGCGATTTTGGTTTTGGCGATGGCATTGTTTAGGAACTGCACGATGTGCCATGCCATGGAAATAACATATCAAAACTCTTTGTGGTGCTCGTCTCAGGATTCTGGAGCTCGAGGGCACTGCATACGTCACGGTGCATGAGGGGTGTGCTCAAGCGAAAGCCTGGCCAAGCTTCCAAGCTTGGGCAGCTTGGGCACGGACATCGGCAGTGCAGCAGGCCAGGTCACACTGCTCCAAGCTTTCGATGTCCTCCCACAGAACGGAAGGCATTTTTGCACCGTCAGCCGCCTCGCTGCAGCTGCCTCAGCCTCGCAAACGATCTCCAGGACCGAAATCTCCTGGCCAGGTCTGCTCGGCTGGTGCTGCGCTGCGGTTCGCACAGGACAATCGAAAGAGTTCCTTGCTGGCAAGAAAGCTTGTCAATAGGCAAACCCACACCGCATTCTGGCGTGGATGCCTTTCCTTTAATTTGCAATCCTACATTCGACATCCAGTGTGTGAGTGTGCAGGTCGACCGACCACATCTGACTCTGGCCAACCGAGCATAGGTTATCTTTGGACAATCGTATGTTATGACTTGGTCGCCTTGTGGTCGACGAAAGATGGCAGCGAAACTGGGAATCCCGTCCCTCTTTGCTTTGAACCCCTTTGGGCTGAAACTTGGGAACTTCCCGGCCCAACCTGACAGCCACTGCTCGCCAACACTCAAGACACCCGGATGCACGCATAATTCGAGATGCAAAGATCGCTCCTTTTGCCGATCCCTTGCAACGTCTGAAGGCTTCTCGGGGGCGTACAAACCAGCCTCGACGGGGCAAACATCAGGAACAAATCACTGTGTCAGGCCGATTGCATCAAGAGTTGCATCTTTCTAAGGTACATTGCTTTCGCACCTTCTGTACATCCTTACCAAGGCCCTTACCCATAGTCGCACATCCATTATCCCCGGCTTGCAATATGCCCAATGGCATGCTCGAACTCTAAGTGCTTTGCCATGCGAAGGGCACGATAAATGCGCCAACCTCGTGCAGTCAGTCAGGTCGGGCTATGATGACGGTGCATGATCTGCAGTGAGAGCCAGCACTTGCTCGCGCTGCACTAGATAGCAAAGTTTACAAGATCGGGATGGATGCTGAAACAGACAATGAGAGAGCTTGCACAACATCGGAAAACAACGGAGCTTTCAGAACTCGTCTTCCTTATCTGTCAACGGCTCATCTGAAGGCGGTGGGTGGATAGGAACAAGAAACCATCATATCTGAGAGCAGCGCACGAAACACAAAGCGCCAGTTGCAGAGACACGGATGCCAGAAGCGCCCACTGTGTCACGGCAATGCTTCAAGAGACCCTGCTTGTTGATCTAAACTAAAAGTCCAGTCGACATCTCGCTCCAGCACTCGGTTTGCTCACAAGCACAAAAGCAGGTGACTGCAGTGGTCTTGACTTTCGCTGCCAGGGAGGCTCGCCCACCTCCCACACGCCAACCATGGCTTCCAGCACATCCACCATCCTGGCGACTGTGAAGCCGAAGAGTCCAACACTTGGTGAGAGTGTGTCTGAACCACTCGTCCCGAATCTCGACCGACTTTGGCACGGGCATGTGTCATGCATGTGCGGCGAAAAGCGTCTCGAACAATGGCCTTATCGTGCAGCACTCGCAGCGGTCTTATCGATACTTCAAAGGCGCTTGGTGTGTTCCCGGCATTTCAACACACCTCGGTGCCAGCAACCTCCCTCACTGGAACAATGAATGAAATTGGCTTCCCATATGCCAGCTGTACGAGCGCGAGCCAGGTGCAAGTGGTCGTGGGGTCGCAACCAGCATGTACCTGCACATCCGCGCTTGCCGGAGAGCCCATTTCATACTGCATTGAATGCAGTTGTTGGTAAGCTCAGGATGGGACATCATGACTCTGGCTTCCGGTGTTTTATCGCTCCGGCTTGCAGCGCAAGCCGATGAAGGGTTGCAAGGCAGGCTGCATGCTTCTATGCTGTGAGTGCATGGAGAGTGAGTGCATGAATGAGTGAGCAGGAGAGTGGGTGAATGAATGGAAACAAACAGAAAATGTGCATATTTTCATATATACATAGACACAGATACCTAGATGCATACATGCAGTCAAAGATTTCACCCTGAACGCAACAACAACCCAAGAGTAGTACCGCGGTGTTTGGGAACAAACTTGGCCTCGGCAAACCGTGCCAGCAAACTTTCTTTGCCACTACTTGCTAGTAGTATTATTGTCGTTGTTACTGTTCCTGTTCTTGTGACCATTGCTGCTACTGTTATTGCTACTACAGTTATTTACGATGATGATGATGATTGTTCTTACGAGTAAAGACGATTACTAGCACTTGTACATACCAACACGATTGGAATTACTGTTATTGCATTTTCATTATCAGTACGATTCGAAGCGCTCTTGCAATTGCCATTACTGTTTACTGTTCCATTCATTATTTACCCTTGCTGATATAGCTACTAGTCACTAATGCCGGCACTGTTATTTTCCACGAATTACTGATCACGAACACCATTACAGTGTGCTGGGAACTTAGAAAAATTATTTGAGCAAGATTGCCATGCAATCTTGGTCTCGCGACTAGTTTACCTTTTAGACCAAGATTGCAAGGGGGGCAAGTAGGGCAAAATGATCTACATGCCAAGATTGCTTGGCTATCTTGCTCCCCGCCGACCAAGATTGCCAAGATTACCAAGATGGTTCCATCAAATTATTGTTCGAAATTCCCGGCACAATGTACTATTACTGGTGCTATGCTTCTACCAGATACTGACTGCTCTTTACGGACTATGAACTCCAAACTATGAACTACTGTAGTTGCCTACTCTACGAATCAATAGCTACTCGGATGATCAAGATGACGACTACTACTACCACACTACTGCTATGACATTGTTGAGAGTGAGCAATCTAATACATTGCCATTACGTCTAACAGTGGAAAGAGTCTGAGAGAGTTTATAGTCGGAATAGCCGAATGAATAGCGATCTTCTGCTTTTGTGCGGTTTCACGATTCTCTTACTACTAGTACAGCTGTCAAAGCTGTCGCACGCGCCGAAAGCACTGAGATCGACGAGGGACATTGCAAACACCTGGCAAGCAAGCACTAGGTTCTCCAAGAGGACCTCCGACCGAGCCCTGCGACTCAACGCGCCCGAGTGGCCAATGTCAGCATCGGGCCAAGGCAGCCTTTCTGGACGCAAAGACCTGATGTGGATTCACATTACATGGGAAACTTGCAACTATGCCAGAAGCAGGACCAGAAAACTGTCTCTTCAGGTCACGTTGACACGATGCCTCGTGTGCCAAGCGCAAACAGCGGCAGGCTGCACAGGACGCAAATCATGTCGGACCTGAGCCGCTGAGCTCCAAGAAACCAATTATCCGCACTGGTTCCGACGGCGACGGTCTACGCGCTTCTACGGCCTGCGGCGCAATCTGAGGCTCGAGCGAGGTCGTCAGAAAATGCATCGCATAAACCTGCACAGCACAGTCTTCAGTGTTACGATGTGCAATTTCGATGCAGGGCTCAAGTGTTCAGTCAAGCTCCGATCTTTTTGCACAGTGAATCACTTAAACCTTGGCTTGGGCATTTCCAAGCATCCTGCAGAATAGCCAGGGATATTTCCCTGGTACGCGGCTGCGCTTCGAATCATGGCCAGCACCTCGGGACTCGGGAATGGACGGCATCCCTCGGCGAGCCCGAGGAGTCTCGGCTGCGGGCACACAGACCAAAAATGGAGCACCTGGCGCTTGTCAGACGTGCAGGTGCCGACCAGCCACTCTCAATGCTGACGCCTGCCGTGTGCCAGAGGCCGCTGCGTGAGCGCTGCCACCTGGCTCCGCGCCAAAACAACAGCTCAGCCAGGCCCCTAGTCGCATTCAAAACCAACTCCTAAGGCTCCAAGAGCACACGCGGAAAATTAATCTGAGTACCCAGGCTTGAAGACTCTCATCGGCACAAAAACGCAAACGCCAGCTGCAACCCAGCAACTTAAGTGGCGACATTTCCACAAGCAATGCAGAGATAGGGCACGTCTGGCACAAGGGGACGGCCCTGAGTTTGATGAGCCTGTTATTTTCTTTTTGAAATTCAGGCAGGAAGTGCAGGTCGGACCTTGGCATGAGCGATGCGCAGCCGGCTCTCCAAAGCACGACGGCGGGCTTGGCGATCGGAGGGAAGCTCGCCAACTAGCCTGGCATCCCAGCGGAAGATCCCTAGAAAAAACACAGTAACGTGAACGTATCGCTGCGCTGTGACCGCCTTGGCAGATTCTTGGCGGAGCCCTCCGATTCCACGTCCCTCAGTCAGGCCGCTTATGGCACAGCAACCTCACAACGCTCAGACAGAATCACCGACTCCGGCACACAAGGATGCGTCGGAAGGAGATGAGGGTCTACTCGTTCTACTCCCTTGATGTTATGTTTGCTTGCCCTATAGATGCCTGCAGTTAGCCCGCTCTTGCGTGGAAGTTTGCCTGAGGCTGCGGCTCATCGTCCACGAGGCCCAACTCTACCCTGGGGCAGAAGCATTCTCCGAAGAATCCGCGAAGCCGCGAAGACGCCAGGAGACCCCCCCAAAGTGCGAGACTCTCGCGTCCACGCTCAGTCATCTCAGCTTCACACGTTTTGGTGATGGGGTTGGCACTCTGAGCCTGGCACGACAAAGATGCCAACACGCCACTGCTCAGAAACCAATTGCGATCTCTTGCGGCACCAGCTTGTTTATTTGCAGGTTTTGCACGTGCTGCATCTTGGTGCCCAGCCACCCGGGAATAGGCCGATTCCTGGACACAGAGCCGTGGCTCAAGTTCAGCTTGCTAACGTCCTTCGCCCTCAAGGCAAGTCTTGCATATGACTGAACTTGCAGGGAAGTGGAAGGGCGAAGCTGACACAGGAAGTGTAGGATTGCTTTATTGCTGTCTCAAGGCACCGTCATCGAGGCGTGAGCACTGCTACGGGCTCTCACAAACGTGCAAGTCGGTGTTTAGTGAACGCTGCACTGGAAAATGTCAGTCATGTGGTCGGGTGTGCGTATTGGTTGAAGACACTGCCAAGGCATGATTGAGGCAACCACAAAGATGTCGAGCTCCCTAAACCAGCAAAGCTAGGTTTCTGCAATTTCAGCATGTGGCCCAAGCGTGGTGAGAATCCTTCGTCCCACCAGTCTAGTGTTAAACAAAGAGCCAAATGGAACCGCAGGAGCGATGCGGCGATGGGCCTGCCTGGCACCCGCAACGTTCTCGTTGCAGGCTCATAGATGCGAAGTGCACCAAGTGCTTCAATGCAAGCTGACAAGGGCCGTCTCAACTCCCCACAAAAAGCGACTGTAGTGTTCATTGCACGGCCATTTTGTATGCCTGGGCAGCAGTCCTGTATGTCTGACGATGCATACGATGTGCTTTTCGTGAGTCGTCTTGCAGCAACTGAACGGAACACAGCGTTGTCATGGCATTCGGCGGCACGTCGCGGCTTAGGCAGAACTGTTGCTGGAAAAGCACATGCTAAGCAATGGAGCAGTGAGGCACTCAGAGAGTCTTCTCTTGCCCTACCGCTGGAGCAGGAGACAATTAGGCTGCTAGGCTGTAGAAAACTCAGGAGTCTGCAAGAGAATGTTCCCTAGCACGTCGGATTGCATGTCAAGGAAGCAGCTCAGGAAAAGCTCAGAATCGGCAAACGTAGGATGATGACTGCGTCACGTACCTAGCAGATGTGCTTCAACACTGGGCTACAGTCTCTGACAGTCCGAGGCTTACTGCCCGGCCTGACCCATCTGCATGGGTTGTAGGACTTGTGCCTCTCTGCTATGCGCAGATAGCGTACCTGCATAGAGACGATAAACGCACAGGGGGGTAATTGGCAGCTGATCGAACATTGTGCTTAGCCACTCGCACAACTCTGCCATGAGCAGCTACTGTCAACGCAGAGACCCCGCGGTTTTTGAATCCAAGCTTGCTCAGAGCTCCAAGTCCATGTTCCCGTGTTCTCCGCAGTGCAAACTCAACCTGCTTGCAGCTCCAAATGTCGTTGTAGATCGGATCCCAGGCCAGCATCTTGCACGTAAGGTTGCCCATGTGCGGGCAACTCCAGCGGTACGGCTTGACATATATCCACTTGGGCAAGGAAGCTGGTCAGACCGTGTCTCAATATCACGGGCTGCCCGAGGACAGTCTGCAGGGATTGCTCAGCTTCTCAGCTTCGCGCAGATCACACTAGAATCTCAGTCACTGGGCAAGGCTTCCCGAGCCATTGCGCCAACTTCTGGGCATCAGCTGCTGAGAAAGACCTGGTTCGGGAGAGAATGGCAAGCAAGTGCTGGCTTGACACTGCTAGGCTTGCAGGCTAGGATAGTCCTTGCATAACTGCATCTCCATCAACCTCTGTCTGTGCACCAGAGCTGCGCGTAGACTCTGCGCATGGCGTTGAAGCAATGCTGCGCACTGCCTGTGACACTCAGTGGACATTCAAGTCTCAGTGCAGCCTGCTCATGACTCATGATCATGTCACCATTATCTCAGCCAACGAGAAGCAACCGCTGTGCCGGCAGACTGTTTCAGTCCACTGCCAGCCTGTTGCGTGGTACCAGAAGTGTGAGAACATCTCTTTGTCAAACATCTTCTTGGCCGCATCTGCTGCTTTCATGTCAAGCTCTTGGTCGAGCAGCTCCATGAGCCTTTGGACATCCGACGGTGACTTCCTCAGCTGATGCAGCATGGGAAGCGTAAGTTCAAACCGGCGCCCGGCTACGAAGATTCTTCGTGACAGGCTTCGATGCAATGTTGTGCTTCTCCCACGGATCCGCATGCAGGTCAAAGAGCTGCGGTGGCCAAGCAGCTGAGCCCGGCATTAGCGGCGCGTATGCAATCAACTTGAAGTGCCCCTGGCGGACCATGAAGCTGCCCGTAGCGGAAAACACCTTGGAAGCTGCCGCAAGTGCTACGTGCGCCATCCAAACTGACAGTGTCGGCTCTTTCGTGCAAGTGAAAGTCTTCAACGAGATTTTGGATTCTTACAGTTGAGCCGCGGAATGGTACTCAGCCACAACGAAATCCTTCTTCTTCTTCTTCTTCTGATGTTCTTTGGCCACGGGCAGGAGGGACTCCTCGTGGCTTCCCACATCTGAACATGTGGCTTACGTGCAGTGTCAGCTGCTTGCAGCCGGGATGCTCCCACCGGCTGAATCGATGGCTCAACGCCAGCCATATCCAAAACAGTTGGAAAGATATCCTCAAATGAGGCAAGCGACCGTTTGGTCAGTTTTGGGGGGCGGGCGCCAGTTGGGTAGCTGTCTTTTTCTCGTATTGTCAACCAGGACCTCCCTAACAAAGCGAAAGGTTTCGGCCATGCTCTTGTGGTTGTGAGTGGCTCGTATGACTCTCAGCCGACTCTTGCTTCGACAACTCACCAAGTCTTACTGCTTGTGTGTGTGAAACTAGCTTGCCGCAATGCTCATGCCACCGTGAACTTGCCACTCATTTTTCTCTACGGATTTCGGTAACCTTGTGGCTGCTGATGCTAGACTGTCAGACCGTGCCGTCGACTAGTTTCCGATTGGCCGTCAGTTTCACCGTCGGTGCCGTCTATTCGGGAAGAAGGTGATTGTCTCTACTGCTGTTAGTTTGGTGATTCTAGCGCTTACACGCAAAAACCAAAACTCAGTCACCCGCACTGAACCATCAAACACTACGACCCCCAAACTTTAAACCTACACTAGACCCTGGATCCCCCTTCCCAAACCTAAAACCTCAAAATCCTGAAGCCCTAACACCCTTTCAAGTTTTTGGGGTGTCTCATCGGCGACCACTCCTCGGAAGCAACATGTATCGGTATCGACTTGTTTCCGCCAACGTGATCAAGGGATGCCGAGGCTCATAAAGTGAGGTGAGATCCTGGATGACCTGGCCTTTTGCAATGCCTGGACCAGCCATCATGAGTGGCACCCGCGCTGCTGCCTCGAAAAAAGAGTTCCTTGGCCACGGTTGTGTCAGTGCTCCATGCACTTCGCCATGTCGAAACGATGCGTCACTCACCGAACACCACAAGCACGAACCTGGCTCCAGCATTGCACTACTGTAGCTCCAGTGCCACTACCATGCTGGTCCGGCTCGAGAAGATCTGCTATACTGGTGATTTAGTGCTTGAATAACTTTCGAAGCTGTCTCCTTGCACAGCTGCAAGCTTGAAACTAGGATTGAGATTTGTGCTCAAATTCGACCAAGACTTTCATCCGAGGATGTCTCTGGCGCCGAAGTTTCGATTCTATTGGCAATGGGACAACTCCCTTTTGGCAAATCCTTCTCCAGCTGATGCTCTACATAAGATCTGTTGACATGTCACTCTAGGGCGCCGGGGACAGAACGCTTCCCCGATCGCTTGGTTTGTTTCGGGTCTTGGCTTTCGTCAATAGGCACATAAATACACCGCAGGGCATAGGATGAGGTTTGCCTGACATCGACTGGACCAGCCACTTCCAAACATGCGGGTTGGCATGACGGTTGCCCAATCTTTGTCGAAGGCACTTACCAAGCATGCGATTCTCTGTTGCGTGTTCACCATGGTCTCCAAGCATTATGACCTGATGGCATGCCCTGTCATGCTAGCATCCGTCGGCTAAACGCACAACCAGGAGCATTTGCCTGCCAAGAAGCATAAGCATCATCGAAGCTGCTGCTGCGTCTGAAGGCATCAATGATGCTTCCGAGGAGCTGATCTGCCTCTATGCACATAGAGAAGTAAACCTTTCGAAGGTGCGCCACCTGCCAAATCAACGCATTGGTGACCAGACTGCTTATGTGGCTATGCATCGCAGCTGCATCAGGCCTTTTCAGGTGAAGTCTCATCCAGGCGCCAAAGTTTTTTGGCTCTGGAGGTATATTCGTCTGCCGGATGCACCTCCAGCTTGGGAGGCCACTGCGGCAAGCTGTAGTTCCCCAGGTCAGGCACCTCAGATTGGCTTCCGGTGTCTTGCCCCTGCTCCACAGCTTCTCCTTTACAGTAGCCTGATTGCTTGGCCAAGCAAAGCTCCAAGCACTTCAGCGGCTCTTTCCTGATTACTTTTCCATTACGACAGGTGTCAACAAGCTGGTTGCGAGCCAGGCGCCTGGGCCAGGTACGTTGCATTGGTCCAGAACGGACTGTGAGGCACCAGGAGTGAGCAATAAAGAAATTGCGGTGTGGACGACTTGAAGAGACCGGAATCGAGGAGCTCCGTGCAGCTTCGGCTGGCTGCATAGTCGAGAAGCCCCGTCGCCGGCCGTTGCAAATCATCCTCCGTCGGGAGGCCTGGCACCTCTTGGGCGGGTGTAAGGCCAAGGGCCCTTGTCCATTCCATGGCTGCCTTCGGAAGGCGTTTCCCACCCCAAGGCCAAGCATCGATCTTTCCCGAGTAGCGGTGAAGCCCTGCGCCTGCGTGCATCTTGCCCCACAGAGTGACATTGTATCCCGATGTGGCCAACGCATCAATGAAAGTGCCGTTCACCTTCTGCTCAATGGCAAATCTGCGACACGTCTCTTCCGAAAAGGTCTTGGCACAGTGCGAATCGATGTTGTCCAAGCTACCGTTCACGCTGGCAATGCCGACCCAGTTGTCCCAAACCTGGAAAAGGCCAAAAGTGATGGAAACGTGACTCGGTGTGCCCGTGCTTCGCTCTCAGGTCGTCCACGCCTTGATCTGCGACGGGTAGCGTCCAGCCAACATTGAAGATCGGGCAGGCACGCACTGAGGAGATGATGAATATGCCTGCGGCTCGCATGGGTCTTACAAGTTTGCAGTACACCGGCCACTCGACTGGAGTGCCTGGGGAAAGTACACGCCGTCGGCAGCCAGTGCCCGCAAATTTGGAAGTGGTGGCTTGAACTGTGGCGTGGCATCATCCAAAAGTCGCCCATCCATTTGCTTAGATTGGTGATTGGTGCAGGAAAAGCACAGACATGCACCAAGGCACAGCAAACCCAAGCCGACCGTAAAGCCAGCGGGTCTTGCAAACAAGCGACATCCACCATCAGAAAGAGGATATGAGGCCGCCGGCCAGCTGCGCCTGTTTCCACTTCCGAATTGAGTATCGACTCCTAACCTGAGCACGTTGCACACCCGACCATCGGCGAAGCCCAGCGCGAGAAGACAGGCGAGGCGGAGGCGGCCCATGGCCATGGCGTTGCTTGAGCTGCGAGCACCTACAGTAACCAGGTTATCGCAGCTGGCGGGGCCACAATATAGGGCGGCCTTGCTGAGCACCCACCGGCCAGTCGACTCTCTGCAGTGGAACAAGCTGCAAGTCGCGCCTGCAGGTTGGAGACGTTGTACATCGGGATCTCATATGTTAGCGACACGGGACCCACCTGCACAAGCAATATCAAAGACGGAAGTGCAGATTTGGTTCCTACATGTTCCCACGCCTCCTTCTTAATGTTCTGGACGTTGGAGACGGGTGCAGAAAGTGTGACGCGACACTTGATGGCAGCCTTCAGCAAATAGGATCTCACGCCCAGACCCTCGAGTCGGTCAGGACTTTCGGCCTCTGTCCCGCCCTGGAACTTCTTGATGTTCCACAACAGTCGATGCTCGCTGGCAAGGTACCTGATTTGTTGTTTGGAAGACGTCTCAATCATCTGAACATCTCCCAAGCGGCACGAACTTCGCACCCGGAGGATTAATATAAGGCCGGGTCACGTCCCTGCCCAACGTACATGTTTGGACATCGATACGACAAGCCGGCCGACGCAGTGACATGTTCGACACATCCCCCAAACGTCCGCAACAAATTGAAGGCCACGGACAGTTTCGACAAGGTTGGTCGCATCACCCCAAGCATGCAAACGCCATTTCTATGAGCGAAAAATGATTAACTTCTTTGTTCGAAGGTTCGACCGTTCCGGCCGCAAAAGGCGCAAGCACGCACTTCGGCACATGGACTGCAATTGCCAGGTCCAGTGCTTCGGCGGGCTTCTATAAGGCCTGGCCCCGCTGACTCCCAAATCGGCCAGCCTTTTGCTGTCGTCTTTCGTGAAAACTTTGGTCGGGCAGAAAGGTCCGGGGATCTCGGTGAGCGGGGCTCTTTGCCTTCACCACGGAGGTCTGTGCTCCAGGGTGAACAAAACTGATGGCGCAAGGCAGGAAGGGAAGAAACAAGTATCATCCCGGATGCAATCCAACATCTTGGCGGGCTTGCAGCCTTCGTGTCTTCTCATCTTCCTGCCCGGCACCCAAGCATCAGACGAATTTCACTTTGGCCGCTGACGTTCGGCAGCTGCTTCGATATGATGCACAAGCCTCTCTACGACTCTATACACTCTGAGGCTCTTTACGAAGAGGTCATCCTCATGCAATTAAGAGATCAGCTTCACGGGCGCCGCGGCGGAGCGTGCTGCCGACCCGATCTTAGCCTTGGCGGCTGCTTTGGCCAGGTCGCCGTTGAGGGTCATGGTGCTGATGGCCACCCAGCTGCCCGAGTAGTAATCCCGGATGCGCTTGCTGGCCAACAGCCTGCCGGCAGAGTCCAGTAGCTCCTGCTGTCGCCCGCCCTCGAGCTCTGCGGGGCAGACAAGGCTGGCGAAGGTGGGTGCCGCCATGAACATGTTAACCTGCCATCCTGGGTGGATGGTCTCCACCAGGCAGGCGCCATCCACGTCCAGGGAAGACGCCCATCGCCCGGAGCTCTCCTTCTTCCCCAGATGCTTGGCAACCGGACTCAGGAAGTCGGCTGCTGGGCCCGCCTCGGAAGGATACAGCAGGAAGTCCACCACCACTCGCCAGATGGTCCTTGACGCCTCGGCGCCGAACTCGGCACCTGGCGTGCCGCTGCCGCTGAAGCCCGTCTGAGCCCGGAGCCGACGTCCATCTTCGAAGATCTGGGCCCAGTTCGGGACCAAGCCCGTCGAAGGGCACTGCGTGGCTGCAAGCATCTTATAGCTCGTGGCGATGAGCGTCTCCCAATTTGTTGTGAAGCGGTCGCCCTCCATGGAGGACCCGCCGTATTTCTCATCGTGAGAGGCCATGTAGTCCCGGCAGAGTCGGTACACCCCAGGCGCATGGTAGCTGGGGTTCTGCCCTTGCGTTCCCCAGCCTCCCCAGCAGGA